TGGTTGTTTTCTCTCCTATTATAAAGCAAGGCTGTGGGAAATCAGTTATATTTTCCAGCAACAAAAGATGATTGTGCACATTTAGTAAGCTTTCTATAGAAAACTCAACAGATCATAGAAAACAAAATCATAGATTTAGATAAAAAACCAAATCATTTATGGTTCTGTAGGTTTTAGATAGTTTGTATTAAATTGTAATGACTTCATAAAAAAATATTTAAATAAGAAATCCTGCTCAATAGGTAGGTACTATTAAAAGACCAATAGCTCAAATAAATGCGGTTCAGTCAAATTTAATCAATATCATAATAGACTTTCGTAGTCTTCAAATTAGGTACATTAAATAAATACACAGTCTCGTTTGCAAAATATTCTAAACTACTACACATTTTATAAAAGCATTTCAAAATAACACAAATTACTACAAGTGCAAAACGACCTTTTAGTGAACACAAGTGGAATGTTAAACAAAATTGTATTGTAATAGTCAACTTGTTGAACAAATGAAACAGTTGTAGTATTGCAGTTCCATTTCCTACCCCACTTCCTCCATCCCTTACAAGGGGGGTAGTTTCAACTCATTTTCCTCTTCATTTTCATATTCCTCCTCCCCTTGGTAAATGTCCCACGGAAATTGGTTTGGTGGTCACCTTACTAAAATTGTATCCACTACTTATCCAGTCTCATATTAGCTTTGATATTCAATGGAAAATGATCCTTCTGATTAATAAGCAAGAACACTTTTATAATTGTTATTTAGGTTGGAAAAGTTGACCTAGCATATTGGTTTAAATTGCTGTGTTAGATGAGCCAAATTAGTTTGCTTCAAGTGTTTTAAAATCATCACAGATTTTCCAACATTGACATCTTTGCTTTCTCCGTAACAATAAGTAAATTAATATGTATCTTTAAGCGTAGATTCAGTAGCACAAATTATTTATTTTACTTTTGTATTGTGCTTGGGACCTCTTCCATAAATGAGAACATTATTTTGAGCCACTGATTAAGTGTGCCACTGTAAAATATTGTTTCTTTCTTAGACTAACCTTTGAATCTTGCCCATCTGTAATTCAAATGTCAGTTAGCATCTTTTATGTCCCAATGAATTATCATAGTACAAAAACTGACACTGAAAACAGAACTTCAACAGATAGAACATACAGTGTTTCTTTTTAAATGCGATTTGTAATATAGTACCTATCTCAATTTGGCTTTACTAAGGTGTAAGTTTGATAGACACTTTTTCCTAGTACATCCCTATGTTATATACTTGTATTTGTAATGACTGTTATTAAAGATGTAGTTAACGCAAATCCAAATGTTAAACACTTTCTGATTATTATGTTTCCATTCATTCCGTGGTGAGTAATACTTGTCGGTAAAGGATATTTTTAGGAAGCAGTTTTGCCACCAAAGAAATTTGGTTCTGTGACAGTTGGTTTTAATGTTGCAGTTAACGCCAGTTTTGCTCCAATCTGGGATGATCAGATATGACAGAAAGTCCTATCAAGGAAAAGATTTGATTTTATATTAATTTTCCTTGGGTTTTATCAGTTGAGAAAAATATTATATTTCAAATAAATACTTAAGTATATTTTTCATACATGTATATTTATACCCCTTTTGAAAATTGTTAACTTTGAATGTGCAAAACAACTACAATTTATTTTAATTATTTTCCTTGTACAGTATTTATTTTATTGTTGTTACCCAAATTATTATAGAAATTTATTTTGTTAAATGTAATAAACGGTATCAGCAATCTGACACATACTTTCTCCCATTAGCTTGTCAACAACCTTTATCATGGGTAAGCGATGAGAGTTAACTATGATATTTAATAGGTAAAATCACAAAAGTTTCATTAGCTTTTGAACCGTGATTTTACAGGAATGGGGGTTTGCACTATTTTGTTAAGAATTGTAAGGATTTATGACAGACAAATTTAAATCAAAATCGTTTTTTTTCTCAATAAATCCTTTTTTTCATGGGAAAATCACATAAGCTACAATAACTTTTAAACCACAAGTTTTACACCAATGGGGGGGGGGGGGGTTGCACTATGTTGTTAAGAATTATAAGGATAATCATATACTAATTTCAATCAAACCCGGCTTTAAAAAAAATACAATTTTCTCTTATTTTATGGGTTTTTATGGGAAAATAACATAATTTACAATAACTTGTAAACCGTAATTTTTACAGAAATGGGAGTAGTACCATCTTTTTCAGAATCTAAAGGGCTACAACATAATAAATTTGTATCAAAATCGTTCTGGCCATTTTTGAGAAAATCAGATTTTTCCATTTTATGGGTTTTTATGGAAAAATGATATTAAAAATATAAATTTCGTAAAATAAAAAAAACGCCTGGAGATATCATGTACATTCATACCAAATTTCATCCAAATCGGACCACAGGTGTAATTTGTAGCTCTGTACACGTACACACAGACATCACTTTGAAAACCACTTTTTGGGTCCAGGGGGACTCAAAACTCAAACTCAAAAATTTTGACAAAAACAATACTTTCTCCATATAATATGGTATAGGGGGAGAAAGAAAAAACTTGTTTTGAGTTTCATTGTATATTTTGTATTCATATTGCATTGACGGTAAATAATATTTTTATTTTGAATAGACATTTACATCAAGCCAGCAATAAAATATACAGGGTGTTGAAAATGTCTGGAACCAACATTATATCTGGTGAGTGGTTAAAGAAAAACAACTGATATTTTGTATACGGATATACTATGGTTTTACCTATCTTTTGGTGCCTTATGACATTTTTTACCACTTATAGGGAACGTCCCGTAGAGGATGCAGTAAAAAGTTTTAATGGAAGCCTATGGTAAATGATACATCATTTTAAAGGCGATTTTTTTCTGAGTAAGGAGCCACAAGTTTCATCTCAAAAGGACCACCCTAGCGAAAATGGCGACTGTTTGAAATTTAAAAACCCACTTATAGGGAACGTCCTGTGGAGGATGCAGTAAAAAGTTTTAATGGTAGCCTATGGTAAATGATACATCATTTTAAAGGCCATTTTTTTCTGAGTAAGGAGCCACAAGTTTCATCTCAAAAGGACCACCCTAGCAAAAATGGCGACTGTTTGAAATTTAAAATTCAATTATTTTCAAAAACTTCAAACAGTCACCATTTTCGCTAGGGTGGTCCTTTTGAGATGAAACTTGTGGCTCCGTACTCAGAATAAAATGGCCTTTAAAACGATGTATCATTTACCATAGCCTTCCATTAAAACTTTTTACTGCATCCTCCACAGGACGTTCCCTATAAGTGGTAAAAAATGTCATAAGGCACCAAAAGATAGGTAAAACCATAGTATATCCGTACACAAAATATCAGTTGTATTTCTTTAACCACTCACCAGATATAATGCTGGTTCCAGACATTTTCAACACCCTGTATATTATTTATAGAAATTAGTCAAACATAATTTTGAAAATAGGGCTGTTTTATTCATTATAAAATTAGAGACTCCCTTTAAATAAATTAAATTTATTGGATCAATTTTTCTGATACAGTAAATTATCATACAATTAAATTATTTCACAACATGAATAAAATCATAGGCAGATTTGATGAAGTCTGTTCTGTGGATGGGCATTTGGAAATTTATAAGGATTTTTAATTATTAACTCTACAAGATGGACATTAAATATTTAACAATTATCACCCTATGCTTGTTCAACTAATTTTTCTGCAACATATTAATGCTATTTCATACTCACTCATCTAACCTGTCATGCAAAATCATTAAATAAGTATAAATAAAAATATTAGGTGCTTGGTATAAACATGTATTAGTTCTTTCTAAAAAGTAGTAAGCAACAGTGCAAAACTCTAGTTATGGAAAAAGTAAGAATTTTAACATTTCAAAACAAGCTAAAATATCTTGATTCATTGTTTCCAACCTGAGATACATTGTTTCTTCCTGAAAGCTTGGAAAAATAGAGAAATTCCAGTTTGTTGACTTTGCACTCCACTACCAGTCTGAGGCAAACTTTCTGAAAGTTTTTGGCAGTTTGAGATTTCCAGTTTCAAACTGACTTTTCCTGACAAGTTGAAGGAAAGATTTTTAATAGCAAAATACTGATATAAGTTGTAGTTGTTTTTCTTTAAATACTCCCCTCTATAATGTTTCTTCTTTTCTACAGTTTTGTTACAATGCACACAAATATTGAGTAAGCTACCAATTAGCTGGTAGTGACTTATGAACACTGTGTTTTCTTAGAATTTCCAAATGCTTCTAAATTAAGTATTTATCACTAAAAAATGTGAAAATAAATTTGCTAAACAAAGAAAAACACTACATATTAATTGTTGTGCTATTTGTACGATGAAATCATCAAGTTTAATCTTGGATTGTCGAGACTGGTATCCATTTAAAGATTTAGGCCACAGAAACAAAACATGAATGTAGACACATTTGACCAGTTCCTAGACCTCAGATAACCCCAGTGATACAACAGTTAAGTGATAACCACTTGGATAACACGGATACTCCGATGTATCCCGCATCCACTATCCACAACACTTATGAAGGCTGAAGTCACCAGATAGATATGGTTCTATTGGATTGTCCTGAGGTTTTTGTCCCAATGGAATTTTTTTCTTAGTCAAGGTTTGCTGTGTTTAGTCAAGTTATTAGAGTAATATTTTAGTCTGATCGGTGTCTTTTTGTCAATGTTGGCAGTTGTGTTATTTTAGAATAGGTTGTCACCTTTAATCTAAGGTTGTACATTTTTAACTGGGTCACTTTATCAAGGTGATGGTAGGAAAAATTAGGATGTTGAGTTGGAAAATTTACTTATTAACGGAAATCTGCTATGTCAGTCTTCTGTTTTTTATAAACTGGACCTTAGTGATCCTCAAAAAGTTAGTTCTGCTGCACTGTTAATTTTAGATAGTTCTTTTTAAAATTATGCTTAAGTGTTCCTCACTCTAGTTAGTTTTTTTTTTTTTTTTTTTGCAGGAATTGTAATTGCAGTGGGGCATGGCCGGCTCTGGTACTAAACTGATGACATTGACAACAACCGTGACCTTGAGTGACCTTCAGACACGCTTCAGCCGAGACCTGGCAGAATGGAGGACGACGACGCAGCAGCAACAACAACCCCTAGTGAAAAAACTCCCGAGCACAACAAAACGGACGAATCGCCCCGCATTGGTGTAAATGTAAATGGTGTGGTGAAACAAGATGGCTGTGATAAGTTTAACCGGAGTGTGGCGTCGAGAAGCAGTTCGTCTTCGCTGTTGTCGATGCGGCGCCGATCCATAGTAATGAGTCCAACGAGCGATGCGGCCAAAGCGAGCTTCAACAGTAAAACTGGACTTCACGTGCAGTTCCACTCGAGTACGAATACAAACGGTTCCGGTCAGGGAGAAAAGAAAGGGAGAGCACCCTCGTACACCTCAACGAGTTCAGGGAGCTCGAGTTCAAGTTACGAGGACGACTCGAGCTCTGGCTTGTCCGAGGTAAAGGCACCTGATGGCGGATGGGGATGGGTCGTCGTCTTTGCGGCATTCATGGTCAACCTTATCGCAGACGGGATTACGTTTTCCTTTGGTGTGATTTTTGTAGAGTTTCTTCATTACTTCGGCGAGGGTAAAAGCAAAACAGCATGGATCGGCAGTTTATTCATGGCAATGCCTTTGTTGTCCGGTCCAGTGGCAAGTTTCCTAACGGACAGGTACGGGTGCAGAAGAGTGACTATAATCGGTGCAATATTGGCTGCTGCGGGATTCATAATCTCCTCGTTCACCAACAGTGTGGAGTTGTTGTTCCTCACATTCGGTATCATCGCCGGGTTTGGACTGTCGTTGTGCTATGTGGCGGCAGTCGTGATTGTTGCATATTACTTTGACAAGAGGAGATCGTTTGCGACCGGTCTATCCGTGTGTGGTAGCGGGATCGGCACGTTTGTGTTTGCACCTGTCACACAGTTTCTGCTCGTGGAGTATGGTTGGCGAGGGACCACTCTGGTACTCGCCGGGCTCTTCTTGAATCTTATTGTGTGCGGAATGCTAATGCGAGACCTGAAGTTCACTCCAGGGATGAGTAAAGGTAAAGACCTGAAGAAACGGAAGAAGAAATTACGTCTCAACACAACCTGCAGTGCCGACTCCTTCTCGGCTCTCAACTCCACCCAGCAAACTCCCACATCATGTCCCAGCAGCGGAGAGCTACGGAAACTCCTTCAGCGACCTGGTGAGTATTATACCTTGCAGCTATTACCATTGACTTATGGATACTGAACTAGACATCTGCTGTAGCCAAATCTTTATTGAAAAAGAACATAGTTGAATGAGGCACTCTAACATCTAAGAATGAATGTTTTACAGTTTTTCTAAAATTCAATTTTCTCCTATACAGTAGTTTTTGAAATTATGATAATTGATGTAATTCATAAGATGCTATGTTATTTTTGTTTGGCTTGGTTGAAAATTTAGCTTTAAATGTATTTGGCAGAAATAAGTTGATTATATCTCTACACTCCGCCAGTGGCTCAGTCGAATGATGTCAGTTTTATTCGAAAATTGGAAACATTTTAACATGGAATGGAATGTCTAGTTCTATCCAATGTCTAAGATATTGATTAACCATAAATTTACCTAATTTAGCAGGTAACTATCTATCACCCTTAGGTGACTTACTTTTTAGTAAAAAGGATGCTTGTAGTATTATCCTTCAGTCATGGATACATATAAAAAAAATTGATTTGTTTGCTTTCATTCTATTATTAAGTAATATATATTTAGTGAACTGTATAGTAGTTTTCAACGGTTAACTCTTCGGCAGGTAGAGAGCTGGACCGTTGGCCACATCTGAGGATTTTGGGCCGAAGTGTTTTACGACACATTTTTAACTACCTTCTTCGTGCCATTAAAAAGTGTAATTTCTTTTGTAAACTAAATAATTTTAAAAATTGACAAAACTTTCAGATGAGGGGTTTAAAAACGTAATACAGTAGGCCTAAATGAATTTCAAATTTTAAACAAGTTAGTGTTTATACTAAATAACAATAATAATTCTGAATACAAATACAATGTATCAGAAACATTTAGACATGCTGTTTACATTTTGATTATGTGCTAACTGTTCAATTCACACAGTGTAGTAAGTTATATTAAAATTTAAATGAATATAAAACACCTTATTTAAACATATTCAAAATCATTTATTTGATCAACTTAATGAATATTTGACATATTAGTAATTTTATTGTGTTCTGTGTTGTTGTATTCACTGTAAGGTGGCACTAACTAGTTTTTTTTTTCTTTGGACCGCTAAATGTAAAGTGATTGGTTTCTGGTATTCAGTTTGTGGTTATTTTACCACACAGAAACCTAATCCACATGTTTGGTTAAATAAAACTCTTTACAATTCTGATTTCAAAGAGACTACAAAAACTCTTAACATTTGTAAAAATATTTAGTTCACAAATACTGATATAAACTTCTTCACTTTTTTCTCTCAATTTATTTTTTTATCGTTGAAGACAACAGTTTTCACAAACTATAAGGCTAAATGTCAGTTTTAATAACAAAAAATAAATTTCTTATTTCGTTAGGGTCTAAGTTCAGTAAGTTTGTACAAGTAACATTTTCGTGCCAGCTAAAAACTAGTTTCTTAACGTAGAAGTTTCAGTTGAAATTTGGTACTAACCACATAGGAAGTAAGGTACAAAGGAAACATTCAATGGTACACTTAAGTGGTGTCTAGGGCAAAGCTAATACCATGACCCCCTCACCCTCATGTACACTACAATGCAGTGGAGGAAGAGTCTGTGCAATAGTTTTTACACAGTGCTCGCCACATGGGCTCTTTCTTGCTCTTCGCAAGCATATTTCCATTTCCGGCACAACATACAAGAGCTGAAAGCGCACGGTAATCCCATAAGCTTGTTTCCTCTGTACCTTACTTCTCTATGTACTAACTCATCAGAGTATAATGCAACATTGCACTTAAGTATCAATACTTACAAAAAATAGTCAAAACTAATCTAGTTAAAACTCTCTATGGAGGGTTTCAAGACTGACGATATATGTTGTAGTTTTATAACTAGTCGTAGGGTGTGAGTGCTAAGCTATCTCTAACATATAGTGGTGCGTAGATCATGGAACACCGATGTTTGATGTTGCCCCGATGGATCTCAAGACCATGGCTCGATTCCTTCTTAAACTGCCTCCGTATGGAGATAAACTGATAAAATTAGGTAACCATTGGCACGGCTGCCATAACTGTACAGTGTGTTTCTTCTCATTTTAAATTTGACGAGTTCAACTAATTTGGATTTTGAATTTGGTATTTTTTTGCTACCTATATTATTTTATTTTGTAATTCTGTGTCAATGCTATCAGAATATTGTTAGAAAGGAGGTTAAATAATTTCAATCGAAAGCGGTTTAAGCCTAAAATTGATGTGGATATAGCAGATTCAAAACCCACTGATTCTTTCTTCAAGAGTCAAAAGTTCTTAGGCTACTCTTAGCAAGTAATACACTTCAATTTCCATAAAGTTCTTTACTGATAATAAAAAGCTTTTTATTTCATCAACTTCTCTTTCAGTATAGGCCTATACAAGATTGACAGTTAATCATTCAGTTATTCATTTATTTGTTAAATAGATAGTACAGTAACTTATATTTTTAGTTTGTTTTTGTATTTTACTTAACATTTGGAAAATTAGATAAACGCTACAATTCAACTCTAAAATACAAGACATTTCTATGACATAATCCACAGCTTGTATTACCAGATGTAGGCCTACTACCGTAGACAATTTGTTACAAAAAAGATATGTCAGGATAAAATTGTCTTATACATTTTTTTCTTTCAAATTATGGTTCTATTAATTGTTCATTGGTTTTTAGTATCACTTGGATGAAATTAATCTGCTAATGTAATGTTTCAACAAAACTATTTTTTTCACCATAGTTCTCTGTTAATGAAATACATACACCCTTTAAACTGAAATAGATAAAACACTTGTAGACATTTAGAGACATATTTATTATCTCTCAGAACAAAATTGTTTATATACTCTTCAACTCAAATTTGGTGAGCAAGTCGTAAAATGAGAAGAAATCCATTGTACAGTATATGTTTGTTGTGCGATGCATACGTTTTTCCGAAAGTATGCCTGTTCTAAAGATTCTTCCAGGTTGTCCCTACTTCTTGTGTTTAATCTAACTTTTGTGTGAGCTTTATTTTAACCAAAAATAGTTTCCAAAGAGTTTTATTTACAGCCCACTAGTGGAATCAAGAGTGTGTTTTACTAAAGTAGTTGTATGAGTTAGATGTTTGGAGTGTGAAGTTAACGTGAATAACTTTATTTAGTCCTGGGTCCTATTGTATAGGTCAGGCCAGCGGTTTGCATGTGATGCGCTAATGGGCCCGGGAGATAATTGTGCTTCTCTCCACCTACCTTGTGAGGGAATCTTTCTCTTCCTTGCGCTCCCAACAAACTAAACACTCTTGTGTCCCTGGGCCCGGGCCCATCAGACCCATTTATTAAAGCGGCCCTGCAGTGTTTCCTACTATTTTTATCACCAGAAATTTGTCTGAGGTGTCAAAATATAATTATAGTTTTTCCCATCTATCTATCTTCTAATACATTTCTGTAGCCTACATTTATGTACTAACACTTAAGGAAGCATTAGCGAAGTAAAATTGTTAAAATTAAGAAGACTGTTTTTTGCTCAGATAGTTGCTGTGTGCTTTAAGTTTGTGTAACATTTTCTCGGAGTTATAGAAAAACAGAAGTGTTAAACACAATATTTTGTCTTTACTGGTTTTGAATAAGTTAATTAGCTAGTGTGATCCTTTGTGCTTAAATATTATCAATTTAACACAAAGTGTTGTTTTTTTTTTTTTTTATGTATAAAGTATATTGAGATGGGATTGAATTGCTCCACAATTTTCTACATTATTGCTACTTTTAATATTCCACATTATATAATTTGTTGCCTTGGACAACACCTTTTGATTTTTAACTTTGTAGATTAAAGAAATCAAATAGGTAGGCCTACCTACTTTTTTTGTATCCCAGAGAAATGTTTAAAAAAAAAGTCATGTTGAATAAATAAGCTTCTTTGGGGATGTTCGATTTTAAATGCTTTAAAGTTAATGCTTTAAATGTTCACACGGGGCGGGTTTACAAGCTACACGCCAGCGAGTCAACAGTAGTGCACTTGTATTCGTTCACACGATGCTTTTTCCACTCGCTCAGTAGCTGGCTTCTGACCAGACCACTTGGGTATGTTTTAATTGTGAAATCTTGCTGGTTGTGTTGGTGTTTGCTTACATTTAAAATGAAATGGTCTATGAGAAAAGTATCGGTGTTCCTAAACGTGTATGTACCAAAAGTACCCAGCCTTATGGAACATGGAAAAAACTATGCCAATAAACCATTAAGGGGTAATTTTTTAAACAGCTAATGATCGGAGGAAAAATAAGAGAACATGGATGAAAAACAGTTGAAATCCAAAATAAAGTAATGTTTTCGATGCACCATAATCCATACATCTTCCTACCCACTGGTTTACCCACACTTTCCTCCTTTTCTGTTTCTCATCTTGCCTTCTAATAAATTCATTTTAATTTTGCTACAACCACAACTCTCACAAGAACCTATAGGCGCCTTAAAATAAGAAAATAAATAGCAAAACCTAGAAATAATTAGAACACAGATGAAACCATTGTTGTTCGATAGTGAAAAGTATTGTGAATAACATATCAAAAGTCTCCAAAAATATCTTTGGTGGAACACCACCATTTTTCCAAAATGGCGGCTAAATCCAGTAGTTTTTTGCTTTTTATTGAAATTCTGACTTTCCAGTCAATATTGGTGAAAAGTCGTCAATACATTTATTGTTCCTCCTGAAATTACCTTTAAAATGATACCAAATACATGTCCCTACAACAAAAAATAAACCCCGTAGAAATAATAAAATATTTCAAATAAAAATATTTGTTATAAATTAATGTAATAGTCCAAGCAAACTAAAAATAACGTACACAGGGGTCGTATAAAAATTTGCAAGTAAACATGTTATGGTTTTATTTTTATTGTTGTGGTGTGCAGAGTGACATACCAAAAGTTGCAAAAAATCAGTCCACGGGAAACCCCTAAATTAAGGAAAAAATGGCGGCTTTTCCCAATATTGGACAAATTTTGCAACAAAAGATACCACATGTTTTTTTGCACATTTTTCGAGATATTGACTTGGAACCACGACCGATATTTATTGGATAGTCCGTACTTAATTTCAATAGGGGACGCTTTTTGGGCCGCCTTCTTGGATCAGCCATATTGGATCTGCCATATTGGATATAAATATTTTTTAATGTAATTATAGTGTTGTGACACATCATTATGAACTAGATTTCCAAGCTGATTTCAATGCTGAAATCAGTTTTTTAAATAGCGTTTTACGATTTTAAGATATATAAAAACGAAAACTCTCCCCCATTCGTACTTTGACAATTTAAAAACACATTGAAAACTACCACAGTCTAAGGTTGTACTATCAGGTTCAAGTATGGCGTGGAAATAGTTCACCAGCAGATCCAACAGATTGGGAGTGGTGTTTGACTGATGGTAAGTATGACTAACTTACTTATAAATAACTGTACTTATAAATAACTGTAACTGTGTAACTTGGAAATTATATTTAGATAAATATAGGATATGGCCTTTAAAAAATTTCAACAAAACGTTTTATGGTTTTATTTTGTAGTGTTGTGCAGAGTGAAAACGGGAAAAACTCGTCATAGCTATTCGTTCAAGTATTGACTTTTATTTTAGCTATGGATTCCTTATTGGGAGTTATTTAGAATTGGGGATAAATGTCTTTAACTAAAGACAAATTAAAAATAACAATAATTCATTCAATAGTTCTTTGAAGGTAGGCCTACATGATTCGTTTTAAATTTGTCACGTGTCATTTAATAATCAATAAAATTACAGCCAAACATTTACTGAGTACTTTGATACCAGAATGGACTTGTTAACGTATTAACAACCCGAGATATAAATCTTTTAACAAAAAACTGATAAAAAAAGTTTAATTTAATTTTTTGTTGGGGTTTGTACCTCGTCTATAACCAGTCTGTTTTAACTATAAATAAAACAAAATGAAAGATCTTTTATCACTGAATATTTTAAGGCTAGAACGAACTGCAAGCAATAATAATACCTGGAGAAAAATAATCCAAACACATTTTCAAAGTAACTTACGATATGTCCATAACTGATGTATAGGGGAGAGTTTTCGTTTTAATATATCTTAAGCAACGAAAAAACTTATTTAAAAACGGATTTCAGCATTGAAATCAGCGTGGAAATCTAGTTCATAATGATGTGTCACAACACTATAATTACATTAAAAAATTTTTATATCCAATATGGCTGATCCAAGATGGCGGCCCAAAAAGCGTTCCCTATTGAAATTAAGTACGGACCATCCAATAAATATCGGTCGTGGTTCAAAGTCAATATCTCGAAAAATGTGCAAAAAAACATGTGGTATCTTTTGTTGCAAAATTTGTCCAATATTGGGAAAAGCCGCCATTTTTTCCTTAATTTAGGGGTTTCCCGTGGACTGGTTTTTGCAACTTTTGGTATGTCACTCTGCACACCACAACAATAAAAATAAAACCATAAAATGTTTACTTGCAAATTTTTATACGATCCCTGTGTCTGGTTTTTTTTAGTTTGCTTCGACTATTACATTAATTTATAACAAATATTTTTATTTGAAATATTTTATTATTTCTACGGGGTTTATTTTTTGTTGTAGGGACATGTATTTGGTATCATTTTAAAGGTAATTTCAGGAGGAACATTAAATGTATTGACGACTTTTCACCAATATTGACTAGAAAGTCAGAATTTCAATAAAAAGCAAAAAACTACTGGATTTGGCCGCCATTTTGGAAAAATGGTGGTGTTCCACCAAAGATATTTTTGGAGACTTTTGATATGTTATTCACAATACTTTTCACTATCGAACAACAATGGTTTCATCTGTGTTCTAATTATTTCTAGGTCAAACCATATATTCAGGGGCCTACTACTCTTCTAACATCTTTAAATAACAAGCGCACAAACACAAGCAACTGCGTTCACACTGGGCTACTTACATGCTAGATAGCTCAAAAGCTGGAGATTAGGCGTGTAAATTAGCCGCAGAGTCAACTTTTTCCAGAGCTTTTTTTAAAAGCAGCTTTTGAGCGAGTATGTCGTTCACACTGAGCTATATTACTAGCTGCTTGTAAAAAAGCTGGCGTGTAGCCTGTAAACTCGCCCCGTGTAAACGGGGCTTTAGAAAACTTGGTTTAAGAGAAGAAGTGTTTATTGAAATGCACTATCCAGATTTTAATGTAAAACAAACAATACACAGGTCTCCAAGACTGAGAAGTCGCTTGTTACCGAGATTCAAGCAAATATTTAATCTCAGAATCGTCTCTAGTAATTGAGTTAAAGTCAAAAATAATGGTTCTGTCCAAAAATAAATCAATGTCTCAAGTTTCGTAAATTGTATGGTGCTTAGTGGCCCAAGATCACTTGTAGAGTTGAATGGTATAAATTACATGTCCGTTGGTAGGCTAATCCTAATGTCTTCTTGTCTATGGCAAGTGGTTTTGAGATTAAAATCACATCCTCAGGCTTCTTCTTATTGCATATCGGTGAACATTGTGTTTGTTTGGGTATGTGTTCACCGATGACATCAACTTGAGTGAAATGAAATTCGAAGAAGCCACATGATTTTAATCTCAAAAATTAGTTGCCATAGATGACAGTAGGATCACCAGATTGGTTGTTAAAACAATTTAATTTGTAAATTTTCTGTATTAATCTTAGATTTATAGTTTGCCCTTCAACTCTAGGAATAGATTCCCAAAAATTAAAATAGAATAATTTTTAGTCAGTCTTTCTGGTAAATACAAGTTAACTGTAAATATAATAATAACCACCTAAAACTACTAAGTTTTCAAACTTGCTTTTTGTAAAAAGTTCTAAGTTTAGATGGAAACAGAATGTTGTTTGTAAAGTGTTGAGGACACTAGAGTAGATGGTTCTTCATTATACTGCTTATTAGCAAGCCCCTTCATATGGTAGACTGCAGCTTCCAACACTTAAGATGCATACCTGCTTCTATATTTTCATTGAATCTTTTTGTGAAAATACCTTCTCAAAAACAAAATGTAGATTGGATTACAAATTTGCAATAGACATTGTCAAAAGAAATTACATTTATAAGTCGGAAATACCTATACATACAATTCTTAGGACAACACATATGACATGTTTAGTCTTATTAGTCAATTTTGACTTAATAGTCAGAATAAAAAATAGTGAAATAATTAATATCAGTTTGGAATTAGAGTAGAATTGCAACTGCAATCAATTAGAAAAGTCGTCAAACAACTGTTGATTAATTTGTTATTGATGGCTGCAAAAACAATCCGAGTGGAGAGGCCACAAAATTAGCGCCGGGTGAAAACAAGAGTCACATTTCACTCGAGTGGTTTTTTGATTGATGTGGCGTCGATGTGCATTAATTGTGTTAAGGTTTACATTTCAAAAAGGTCAGACAAGTTGAGATGTGATTTTAGTCAAGATCAATAATGGAACTTGATTAAAACTGAGTTAGCTAGAAATCAATTGCAAGTTTTGTAATAGTGTTTGGTTAAACTTTGACTTGGGGTAAATTATGTTTTGATTTATCAAAGTAAAAATGGAGGAAATCTACAATAAAACTTTTTTCAATATTCAATTTATTACAGTATGTTGTACAATCTACAGAAACTATACTTTATAAATTGATTTAGTCTTTAGTCCTGCAGTAGAAGTTTTCTTCACTTTCATTAAGAAACATCAACCACAAAAACTAAGTAAGCTTCGATTAAATGTTAATTCATCTACACAACAAACTAAATTTCTGTTTTAGGACATTGGGGAATGAAAAATTGCCAATTAATTGTCAAATGCCCTTTTCAGCATTGATGGCAATGACTGTTTTGTGTGAAATATGCATTGTCTTCTCCTGTACACCACTTATCTATTATATTTCTTAAGTTAAGGTCATTTATGCACCACACAGTTTTTTTTAAATATTTTTTTCATGAACCATGTTAGAAGCACAACATAGTTTTAGAAATGGTGAATTCAGTGAAAATTATATGCACTTTTCACTCAATTTGGTCAGTAAAGATCGTTGAAAAACGCCTATTAGCCCATTATCTAACATAATAATATTACTACCAAGTTGGTTGGTTATGAGATATAATTCTAATTTTTTAAAACACAAAAGTATATTTAACAATCTTTTAAACATACATAATTTGAAAATGATACAATGAATTTTGTGCTGAATGGTGTCACTCGGGATCTACTCTAGGGCCAAGTATTTTCTTCTCCCTCTAATTTACGCCACCTTTTCTGTGCAGTGTCCTCCCCTATAGAGAGTCCAGGAGGTGACTGTGACTTGGTCTCACGGCAGTTTAGCTCACTAGTCAGTCTGCCGACATTTGTCCGCAACGAAGAGAAAGTTCCGCTAGAAGTCCTGGAGATGTTGACCACCCACAAACATCTGTACGCAGTCCTCCTGCATAACTACCCAAGTCTACTGATATCTTCTCGTAGCTTCAGTGACAGCGGCCGCCTTCATGAACAGCAGGTGGGTAAATTAGTTGTATACAACTTTTTCTGTTTTTGCTAGCGATCGTAGTGTGTACAATAATCTATAAAGACTATGTGGAATCACATAACAAGCAGAAAATCAATCACAGCAGAGCAAGTGGCTAAATAACATTAAGATTATTTTATTTTTCAATACAGAAGACTCTTGGTTAAATGAGGTAATGTGGACCAAGGCTAACTTGGATAACCAAATCCTTGTTCAACACATATACAAAAGCACTAATTCTTAACACAAAAAAAGTTTGAATAAAAAGTATTGTACAATACATAATATTCACCTAGGCCTACCTATCAAATTACAAGTGTTAAAAAAGTCCAACAGTTTTCTGATTGATCTTGCTGCCTTATTTCTGAGCTGCCAAACTGGACATACAAAGTAACTAATTATGTCAGTGAGTGTTGTGTCTCCTACAGAACCATTAAACACCATTTCTCAAAAGCAAATCACTTGACTTACTCAACTCGTAACAACAGTATTTGATCACGTCTAAACTCAAATGTTATCTCTCTCAAACTGATAGAGCAAGTACAGTATTAATTTACAAAGCTAACCTATGATTTACTTGCTGCTAATACTAGCGTTGTCAGATTGAGGCTTGACTCCAGATTTTGTTTCAGCAACTCAATGGACGTCCGAGAGATCAGTTATCAGCGAGGTTCGTAGCTAACAACGCCCCCGTCAGTCCTCTAGCTCGCACTCCCAACACAGAGCCCCGCAGCACCGCCACCACCCCGGCAGACGACGGTATCACTGAGGCCAGCCCACTGCGGGGCCACAAACAGACCCGCCTGCCTACTGCCAGCTATCTCAAGGATCTCAGGGTTCACAGGTGGGGTTTTGTATTATGTTTTAATTTGCACATACAGAACCTTCAGTTACCCGTGGCAGTACATCAAAACAGAAGTCTGATAAAATACTTATGCTTAGTCTTGAAACTTAACTTATAGTTTTAGCCCGCCTAGTGATAAACCTGGAACTGAATATTGTGCTCATCAGTAGGTTGTGGATTCAATCCTGAGAAATGTCAAACTCTTGTGGCTTAAAACAACCCAGCTGTTCTTGATCAGTGGGTTAGAAAAAAGATCCTTGGCTAAACCAGCCAGCAACACAGAAGTCTTCTAATTTAATCAACAATCATCGTTAACTTATCTCTGCCTCAAAATGCACATTCTGATGTGTCGGGTTCGTAGAAATATCTCATTATTTAAATATGGCTGTTACAGGCACTCGCTCACGTATCGTGGAGCCATGTTGAACATCAACAGGTATCGTCTGAGAGCTTCTTCGTGCCCAGACATCTACAGGAACTCCATGACTACCATCGCTAAAGAGGAGTCTGATGTAATACAACACTCTTAATGTTATACATCATATAAATGCATGATTAGATTAGATTCAGTGACAAAATACAACTTAATAATTCTAAAGCATTTTGAGTTTTTGCAGAGCAGAAAATTCACATAAGGTCAGAGTAATTTAGGGTGAAAGAAAGTCACTGCAGTAAATCTCAGCCGATCGTTCTAACGCAGGGTTGTTTTCACTCCCTATTAATCTGGTGATCAGCAGATTATTACTATTATTTTGAGATGCTCGATGTTAATAGGAGGACATGATCAGCGTTATTTCACTCGCTCGTTCTAACAGTTCAGATGACGGTACGAGAACAATATGGTTTTTATCAGTGATCTGTTTTCCAAAGTACTGTATTATTATGTAATGATTGTTGTTAAGAGGAGGATACAATCGGTGTTATTTCATTCGCTTTAATCAGTTCAGATTACAGTATAAAAATAATTGTGCATTCTTAGTCAGCTATTAACATGGTAAAAGGCAAATACAGTTATAGTATTATTCATAACATCACTCATGATAACACCTACAACTAATATCACCACAGTGGCGGGTTGGATAGACACACCAAACCTAACCTTCATTTAACATTGTTGCAGTGGTCCTCCGGGCTCTCGGAGTTGTGGCTCTTGATGGCTGACATGTTAGACTTCTCACACTTCTCCAACCCTCGGTTCCTACTGTTTGCGGTCAGCAACTTCCTGCTGTACACATGGTATGATGTCCCGTACGTCTACCTGGCGCACAACGCTATACAGATGGGTTTCTCAGAGACCGACGCTAGCTTCCTCATCAGTGTGATCGGCATACTCAACATGGTCGGAGAGGTGAGTCTCATGTCGAGGATAGGATCTAAGGTAGCTATGATACGCTTAGTTACCCCCTCCTGTTGAGAAGCTAGATTTATTAAACAACCTTGCTTTCAAACAATATTTCTGAGGATTCTGTACTTTTTATATGACCATAATTTTAAAACAAATCATGTTCAAATTTACTATCTGTTCTTTATTATGTAAAAATTACATTTGCCTATTGGGTCTGATGATGATTGAAGAGTTTAAACTAAATCTATCACCACTTATGTGTATTTACCATCTTGTGAGTCAACAGTACAAGTGTAAATATTTGTTTCAATTGTTTATAAGACATATTTTTATGTACTTTAATTAAATTTAACTACACGTGTAATGCTGGTCCAAAAATAAACTTAATTGTAACAATAGTACTAAAATAATACAACTTATACAGTACTGTACATGATCTCCCCATAACATGTTGAATTGTAACTGTCTTCCACGGTCACAGCAAAATAATTAACACATTCCCCAGGTCACAGCAAAATAATTAACACATTCCCCCGGTCACAGCAAAATAATGAACACATTCCCCCGGTCACAGTGATATCTTGAACATCTTCCCAGTCACAGTGAAAACGAGGATACATTCTGCAGTCATGGCAAAATCATGGACATAATCTGTCATTCAGCAAATTGTGAACACATTCCCTGGTCCCCATGAAACTGAGGACTTCTTCTGCGGTCACTACCAAATCGTGAACGTTTACTGCAAAATCAAGAACATCTTCTGAAGCCACAGCACGGCAAAATCTTGAACATCTCCTCCCGAAGCGAAATCGTGAACCTCTTCCTTAGTCACAAGGACATCACCATCATCATTTCCCACCATCACAGCCAAACCGTGAACACCATCCGTGATTGTCAATTCTCGATCGTACATCTTCGCAGACACTTGCAGTTGTGAAAATAAAAACATGGCTTAGCTTGACATGAACTGAGCTTGGTTAGAAGATTATTTCTTGCCAGAACTGACTACTCTGGCCAACTGTTGACTCAACCCGACTCCAAATTATATGGGACTTGCAAACACCTACAAATTGTTGCCTGTCCAGGTAGAGTTGATGTCTTAAACACTATACAGTAGAACCTCTTTAATCCGAACTAATTGGGACCGGGGGTAGTTCGGACTATTGAATAGTTTGGATTACAGAATAGGCCTATATTTTTGTTTTTACATACAGGGAGCTAAAACGTGGCTAAAATGTATCGTAATTGTTAGGGGAAAAGTGAAATATAGTTTTTAAAGTAAAATACAGTTTTTATTTAATACATTAGTAAACATAGTGAAAAACAGTGTACTGTACATTAGAGTGGAAACAATTACGGCTTACGTTAAACGGCCCCTGTGGCGGCGTTCGGATTAATGGACGTCCGGATTACGGGGGTACGGATTAAAGAGGTTCTACTGTACTCAGACACCACTATACCATTATTCAGTTTCTACAACTGCTAACTATATGATAGCCATAATACAAATGTCCTGTCATGTCAGATATTCCTGGGCTGGGCTGGTGACTGCGCCTGGGTCAACGCAGGTCTAGTCTACGCACTGTCCATGGCGTTGTGTGGAGCCGTGGTGTCTCTGATACCTCTCATCTACTCCTACGAGCTGCTGTGCGTAGTGTCTGGGGCATTCGGACTGTTCATTGCTGCCAACTACTCCCTCACCTCCATCATCCTCGTGGAGCTCATCACTCTCGAGAGGTTTACCAACGCCTACGGACTGTTGTTGCTGGTGCAGGGAGTCGCCAATTTGGTCGGACCTCCGTTGGCCGGTGAGTAAAAATAGAGGAAATAATAGTGATTTTAACACTTAAGGCCCAAAAGTTGCAGCAAAACCTCTTTTAACTTCATTTAGTTATACTGAATCTCATAAGCATCTAGACTGCCAGTGCAACTCCTAGGATCGGTAGGATCGTGGATCAGATCGAAAAACCCCCCACCACCACTCAGTGCCGATGGCGTGACGTCAACCATTACTGTAACGATACGGAACTGAGACACGAGCCTTTGTGGTGTAGTGGATAGCGTGTCGGGCTGATAATCTGAATGTGTCGGGTTCGAATCCCACTGGGAGCACTAACTTTTTGTCAACAATGTTTTTCATTTCAGCAAGTTTGGTTGGTTTGGTTAGGTTATGACAGTTTAATTTTATAATTAAAAGATTTTAAAATTGAATTTGAGACATTTATAATTTTACTAGCTGTGTACCCGTTCTACGCACGGGGATCTTATAATATTCAGTTGAAACCTTCTTATATAACGAACAGCAGTTGGTTTGCATATTTTAAGATATGCTGGCCAAACTATTATACATAGCTTCATTTTATGTTGTTTTTTGTTGTTCCGGATCGGTATGACAATCAATAAAAGGTTAAATTACCTCTGTGTCTGCCGGTCGATCCTATAACGGTAGGCTTACTTTTATTTTTACTATCTGATCTCGTTTGCATGGCTCAATCACGTCCTGGTTGAAGTTCGTTCGCTACGCTCACTCACCTGTATGTTGGAGCTCGTTCGCTGCGCTCACTTTCCTTCAGGTTAGCTCGTTCGCTACGCTCACTTGCCTTCAGGTTAGCTCGTTCGCTACGCTCACTCGCCTCCAGGTTGCAAATTAGCTGTTGTCATAAATGTAAAAGAAATAATAGTGCTAGTGCTGCACCCTGTTGGTAATCCTTGTAACTTTAATGCTATTGAACATCACAGAACAGAACCAACTTGTTTAATTGAAACAGCTGTTAAGATTCAATAATTTCATTTCTCATAAGGTTAACATGGGCTTCCAGAAATTCCACGTCAAAAATCGACAAAAACTTGATTTTCAAGGGTTTACTGTTAAATATCTAACTGTCTCATATTCGATGAAATACGTCTAAAACCATCTCATATATGTATAGTATTTGGAAAATAAGTTTCAGGCGGGACAGTGCTATAGTTATTGAGGAGTAGTTGTAATAAAGTGCGTATTTTAGCGTTACCAAGAGAATGACAGATAGACAGACAGACAGACAGACAGACAGACAGACAGAAATTGAGATAAGGTTTGATTCGGTTTCTCTGACCTATGAAATGTAAAAATAACCAAAAAGTTCATTATTCTAAGCAATGTACAGACAAAACTCTAATTTTATTTATATAGATTTTTAGAACAGAGCTATTTTTCGATTAGTAAACCTTCATTCGAGTTTATCATTATCAGCATGTTTGGTTAGTTTGGTTAGGTTATGATAGTTTATATTTAATTCAAATTTAATCTACAAATTATACGTTTTGACAGCGACAGTGATACAGATAACAATTTTCGCGAACAGTTAGATAAGCTAATGCTGATGCGTCGGTATGATTCGGAAGCGTACGACATGGTGCGGTGGTGGGGGGTGATCTGGTGATCTACTGATCTGATCCACGATCCTCCGATCAGTCCGATCCTCGGACTTGCACTGGCAGTCTAGACGCTAGTCTGAATCTGGTGTCTATGGAAACCTTGATCCCAAATCAATTGGAAATTATCAATGAGCTGATCGGTAATGAAGTAAAGAAAGCAGGTATGCTTATGAACTTGTTTTATCCCCCCCTCTACGCTTGTAGCTTAGGCAGATTTTATGAAAACCACCCTGTATAATCCTCATTCTCAACATTTATCACCAACTATATTTACAGGTTGGCTGTACGACATCACCGGCAGCTACGATCTTCCCTTCTACCTCTCTGGAATCTTCATAGCCATGTCTGGAGCGCTTCTGGTGATTCTTCCGATCATACACAAGGTTCAGAGCATTCGCAATGCCAGCAAACAAAAAAAACTGTCCTCCAATCATGTGTGAGTCACAGTATTGTACCGGTGAGGTTAGGTCGCCAAACTGGGGAACAATATCTTTGTAGAGGGGTTTTCTTTTAGTCTATTGACAATAATTTTTCATCAAGGTTGTTGAGGTTTTGTCAATAACTGAGAATTGTTTGAAATACTTTTTCAGTGATTAGAATAAAAAAAAAAAAAAAAATTAAAATGTATCAAAAAAAGTCCTTGGAACTTTACATCCAGACTGAGTTCCAATTTTATGTTTCTTGTTACAATGTTGATTTGCTAATTACTTTCCCAATATTAGTTGATAGTCAATTGAAAAATTATGAAATTAAATCATAAAAGTAAATAATCTGAAGGAAAACTCTCTCTAAGATATTTATTTGTTTCTCACAATCTTTCCCAATTTGGTGACAAAATTTTTACTGTATTAGGAAACAAATTCAACTTAGATATACGAGTCTAGGAACAAATATAGATAGTTAGTTACAATTATACTGATAACTTTTTAGATGCGAGTAAGATAGAACTATCATAGAACGATTGTTACGTTGATGAATACGTCTTCCCTGATTCCTAGTTTACACAGACTAGCTCGGTGGTTTTTATTTTAGATTTGGTTGTTTATTGTTGTAGTACGTCATAGACTAGTCGTCTCTAATCGATGAATGACACTTGAATATTAGAACTTGAAGAATAGTAACGGCATTTACTTTCTTCAATGTTTACTGTGTCAGACGTATAGATTTTGTGTGGATCAATTGTTGAAAAGGTAGATTATAGTTTATTTTAAATCAAGGTATAACTCATGATAAGACATTTAATTTTAACATTGTAAATTTGTTATTTGGTTTATTTGATTTTGATTCCAGATCAACATTTTTGTTAAGTCTATCAACAGTTCAAAGTATTAATCAACTATACATAATAACATTCATAATGTGTATTTTAGATTCATGGCTTAGCATTGTTTAGTTAACAATATGAAGTCAATCTGTTATGCCTAAGGTGTGTTGTCATATAAAAATCATAATATTTTGTTGTAAGTATGAAAATGTAATGTAGGCGTTAGATCAAGATTAGATTGTGCGTTTACGATTTTATGTAATTATCTAGGCAATTGAGGGGCACCTAAAAGGGTAATTTGCTCCGTATTATTCATCCAGGATTTTTTAATTTGAAAATGTGTACATAAAAAACAAAAAAAGATTTACATTGACTAAAAACATTAGTGTGTATATTTCTTTGTTTCCCAACATCCCTAATAACAATAACTTAGACCCATCTTTGTTAGCAATATAATCCTTAATGGACACTTAAAACTTTTTGTGCCTGAAATTTCATTTTTCGGTATAAAAACTTTAACACCACTGTTTTCCTGATTAGTTTTGTGTTTTGGTCAATTAAGATGTTTGAAAAAAGCAGACAGATAAATAACAGGATAATCTTAAGTACAATTTTACGATAAGCATACAATCCTGACTGAAACATAATGTTTACCTTTTAAAATACCTCATACACCAAATATTTAGATGTATCGTAGTTTGTTTTCCGTCATTGTAAACTCGACCAATTATTTATAGTTTTCTGTGTGTAGCTCTATATATTTGTATGTTGAACAATTTATACATTAAGACTGATTAATTTGTTATGTAGATTATGCTTATTTTATAGGAGGTAATTTTTATGTTTTGTTTTTAGCAATTAGTTGATGATATTTTTTAACCGTGGGAACATTATTATGTTTCAGTGCTTCGTCACTTTTTGGTTAGTTTTGTTTTGAAAATTTAGTAATGTCTAATGTCTGTTTGGACAAAAATGTAATGTAGTTGTAATTTTGGGTGAGTTTGTTGGAAAATCCTTCCCTCACATGAGCAATGGGTTTTGATGGAAAGTAATCTTAAATTTGAATTTGCCCATTCACTTTGAAAACTGAAGTGGACATCCCATCTACATAAGAATCACATGTCCTTAAAATTTTTTTTTCTCTTAAAAGAGAACTGTAAAGTAAATAAATCATTTTTCAAAAGCATACTCAGTGGATAAACAATTTTTTTCTTCTAAAACAAAACTAAACATTAAATGTGAATATTGGGTGTCTACTTCAAGATAGTACACGTGTAGTAGAAAGATTTGCCAAAGCAAAATTGGTAATACATTATATAATGGTACCCTTGATTTTTTTTGTGATTTGTATATAAAACCATAACCGACAGTCATGTTTTACAAATAAATGATAATATACACAACTTTAAATCACAAAAAAGGACTAGACAGTTTTAACACTACAGTAATCTGTGAAGTCCATATTTCTTCTAATCAACGGATGTTTTATACCCTTTATGATGCTGTGATATGGGAGTGCCTGAGGTTCCATTTAGAATATAAAATGGTCAGAGGCACTCCTATCATGCAAAGAGTATATGGTATATTCAAGTCTGGCATACCACACTATGGAGGCCTACACAGAAATTAACAACATTTTTTACCATATCATGACTGTAATTTACTATGGATGAAGACTAGTTCTCAATTTCTGTGTTATTTAAAGTACACAATACAAATCAAAACGGGGGAAGACTTTACGTGTTGCCATATTAAGCCATTATTACCAACTATACCAGTTATTTCTTATAATACTTTCCTTTTAATGATTGAGTTGAATACATTTGAGGAATTCTGTTAAGTTCATATGTCATTGTCTAATGTCATCCAAGGTTTTACCATCGTCTTATTTAGTTAGTTATCTCAGAAGTCTGCTGAACTGGATGTAAAGATTATAATAATCTCCAGCTCATAATAATAAAGTTTGTAAAATCACACATAACCTTTATTCTCTTCCATCAATCAGTAAGATGTTAGTGATGTTTGTATCTCGTTTGAAGAAGGTGCTCCTCCTAGTTTTTTTTTTTTTTTTTTACACCAGTTAAGTTGTTTTTTAGTTCCTCCTTTTGTACATAACATACGAGCGTGTAGATCCGATGTAAATAGTCGACAAAACGATCGAGTTTTGTTCTCAGATATTTAGTACAATTTTATAAATTGTTCAATTATATACAGATTGTATATGAGAGTGTTAGTATTTTGTACTTTCTCACAGCTTCTACCCTAAATGCTGGTAAAACCCAGATTATTAGTTTAATTTTATGTTTGGTTGTATAATTTTCAAATAAGATAAAAATTTAGGTTCAAAAAATTCATACTCTTATGAAAATAATTATTAGTCAATTTTTGTTTGCTAGGGAAAAAAATTGTGAAAACATGTCTTGGCTATGTATGGAAAGATTTAACTGGAGTAAGAGCTTGGTACAGTACTTCTATTTCAGTTTGCCTAAAGAAATATTCTTGTAAAATAACAAATCAAATAAACTGTATCAGCAATCTGACACATAACTTTTCCCATTAGCTTGATAACAACCCTTCCCATGGGCTGAAATAATTTTTGAACTGTAATTTTAATAGCAATGGGGGTTGTACGGTTTTGTTCAGGATGAAAAGAGTTACAATATACCACGTTTTTATCAAGATCGATCCAGTAGTTTTTTAAATCCGGTTTACTATTACGTTATGGACGGATCCCCATTAAAAATACAAATTTCAAACAAATTAAATAACTCTGTAGACACCCATACTTACGTACAAAATTGCATTAAAATTGGACCACGGGTGTGGTCTGTAGCTCTGTACACATCCCTTTGAAAACCACTTTTTTTTATTCAAGGGGACCCAAGACGGATATATCCACTAAAAACTCGAAGATTTGGACAAATACCCCCGCCACAGCAAACCTGCAAGCTAAGCAAATTTCCATTTGCCTGAATTGATTTTAAATTAAATCTATTCAAATAAAATTAGGTTAAACGAGTCAAGTACCTAGTTTAAATACCTGCATTCAGTTATCTAAATTGCTGCTTGTGGCAACTATACTTTCGGTTCACAGGGAACCATCTTCAGGCCAAAAACAAGGCGTCGTTATTTATTCACCTCTGTATATGAAGGTCGTCATTTAATAAAAAAGTACATAGAACACACACGAAAACACGGAGGTGAATAACGACGCCTTGTTCGGCCTGAAGATGAACCCTGTGAACTGAAACTATAGTTGCCACAAGCAGCTATTTGGACAACTGAATGCAGGTATTTAAAACATTATAAATATTCAAACGTAATCCGGAGGCTAACAACTCTTGAATATGAAACAAGTACCTAGGTTTGCTGCTACAGGGACGATAATAAAGTGTTTTTTAGTCAAACGTAGCTTAGTATAAAATGAATACATTTGCCAAGTTTGATCAATATATACAGGGTGTTTTTTTTTTTAACTTGCATCTTTATTTATATAAAAACCACAATAGATAGAAATATGCAGTTTGCGGGAATCATCTATTGACGTAGGGGGCCCAATTGTTTTGGATTCAACGTTACATTCACATTCCCCCCCTTTCCCCCCTGCCCCCAAATTAATTTTTTTAAATAGCAAGGTACCCCTTGTGACATATCAAATGAAAGAGCATGAAAAAAGAAAATGTTTGATGAAAAAAAATTGAAAATCGGTTCATAAGTTTGCGAGATATTTCCCCCCCCCCTTTCCCGGAACTTAATTTTTTTTAAAGCAAGGTACCCCTTGTGGCATATCAAATAAAAGAGCATGAAAAAATAAAATGTTTGGTGAAATTTATTTTTCATTTGATATGTCACAAGGGCGGGTACCTTGCTATTAAAAAACAAGTTATGGGTAGGGGAAAAGGGGGGGGGATTAGCTCACAAATTCATGAGCCGATTTTAATTTTCTTTTCACCAAAAATTTTCTTTTTTCATGCTCTTTTATTTGATATGTCACAAGGGGTACCATGCTTTAACCCTTTGAGTGCCAACGTCCGGGGAACCGGACGTTTTTAAAACGAGCCAAAAGTGCCGACGTCCGGCCGACCGGACGTTTTTAGGACGATCGTAATGATCGAACAGTTGTCATAACAACCGAATGGATACTCGGATTCTTTTAACCCATATATTAACATTGAGTCGAAAGTTACTAGATGCGATACATCGATTTTCGTTGGTCGAAATATCAAAAATTCGATTTTTACGAAATTTTAACCTAAAAATCGCCAGATCGCGCTCGGCATTTTTAGCGCGACCTTCGGGAAAAATCATCGGCATTTTTTGAGCGTTACTTTTATTTCTCGCCTGGCACTCTAAGGGTTAAAAAAAAAATAAGTTCCGGGGGGGAGGGGGGGAATATCTCGCAAATTTATGAACCGATTTTCAATTTTTTTTCATCAAACATTTTCTTTTTTCATGCTCTTTTATTTGATATGTCACAAGGGGTACTTGATATGTCACAAGGGGTACTTGATATGTCACAAGGGGTACCTTGCTATTTAAAAAAATTAATTTGGGGGCAGGGGGGAATGTGAATGTAATGTTGAATTCAAAAAAATTGTGCCCCCTACGTCAATAGATGATTCCCGCCAACTGCATATTTCTATCTATTGCGGTTTTTACATAAATAAAGATGCAAGTTTAAAAAAAACACCATGTACATCTGAAATATATATATGCTTGTATAAACAAGCAAACTACAACAGTTTACTTTTTCTCCATAAGAATAACATGGGAATTTTAAAATTTAGGCTACATTTTTTTTCTTCGTAACCAATAACCATACAAAAACCGTGGGAAGATTATAAAACAACCATACAAAAACAAAAACATACAACAACCATACAAAAACACTTCAATATCCTAAATTATTTGTTTTTAAAGCTCTTCAAAATGGTCTTGTGAGAAATTGGTAAATTTTATGTTTTGAGGGTAAAAAACAAGACCATTTTTTACACCATAAATCCCACCATATACAACCCTAACAGGGGACCGTTCAAATAAACGTAGGTTTACCCGTTTGTACCAAATTTCATCGAAATCGGAAAATTGTTGCTTATCGTGCTAACGGTTATAAAAATGAATTTGACCAGATGGTGTTTTTTTCCATCTGGGGACATCAAAACAAAAAAGTAAATCGGTCCCGGGTCAAGGTCTTACCATGATACCTACGGTAATAGCTTATTCCCTATTCGCTAAAACAATACTTTCTCCATATACTATGTATAAAGGGAGAAAGTAAAAAGAACATTTACTTCAGATGGATTTCTGTCAAGAAGACCTAGAGTTTCAATGCTGTTCCAATCACCTTTAAGTTATTTGGCAACTTAATACTGTAGACTTGTGGTTTGGAGCTATAGGTCCACATATTTAATGAAAGAAGATAGATCACGTTGGCAAGGGTGAATTGTCTCTATTTAGATGACACCCCACATAAAGCCATAAAAATTATCTTTTGTTTTTTAGCCGATGAAATTAAATTACATTTTATAAACGCTAACAAAAGAATGGTGTTTGCAGATGATATAACACCTAAAAAATCCCAATAAGTTACATAACTCTTTATAAATCATTGCTTTACATTGTCTACTACAATTCATTATGTTTTCACAAGTATATTCAGTTTTCAAAATTTAGGCGGTTTGAGGGAAAGCGGTTCCATCTCCCCCCCCCCCCCCCCCCCACCTAACCCTAATTTTAAAACAAAAGCTGGCAGCTAAAAAAGGTGGTGGGGAAACCCATGAAACCTACCCCTTAGACTGCCAAAGTTTTGTGAACAGGTCAATAGTAGGCCCATACACAACAAATTCAAACACTCCTAACTTAATAACACTTTGTAAAAGTTCAATTTTTCTTAGAGACTCAATTCAATAAATATTTTCACGCCTTAAAGTGGTGTGTATTTATTTAAAGTTAGATGTTTCCATAGATTAGACAATCTTCTAGACGTTGTTAACTAATGTTATTGTAAATATCTAGTTGAGCGTTTTATCAGACCAGTAGGCTTGATATCCCTAACTGGCAAGGCCTAGTCTATACAGTATTGTAAGATTCCACTCTCATTTCTATAGTTCGTTAATTGACATTTACAAGTTCTTATTGTATTTACAGTGCATAATAAATTATATTATTTGGCAACAGTGTTTCTTTTCCATGTTTTCCTGTGGGTGATTTTATAAGTTGAAGTAAGATGCACCCTTACCAAAATGTTATGATAAAATGCGGTTTGTTTGGTTATGCAAGTTTTAGAGTTCTCTTGTTACAATGGAAACTGCATCTCTGGTTCTTTCTAGTAGATGGGCTAAATTTTAAAATTTTTGAATAAACTATGTTTTTGACGTCCTAAATGGCCGTTATACTAGAGCCACTGACATTAGTTTACTTAGTTGCACACTATTCTTGACGGAAAACATGTTTGTAATAATTTATCACTTTAAAACCCAGCACACTCATTTTGTGTAGGTAACTTTTTAAGTCCCGACAACCTAACCAACTTGATTGTGTAGGTTAGATGTTTATTTGTTTTTTTGAAGTTTCTGAATCTTTCTGTTGCTCAGACCTGTACGCATCGATTGTGTAGGTCATGGAGATCAGCTGGGAATTTTTGTTTTGCAGTCTGCCTTCATGTCTTATGGTAACACTGATTGTTTTGTTGCAATGTCACGATAAGAAAGGAGAAAGAGACAACTGTTAAGGTTAATGACTGTTTTATTTATATTTTAAATTGTGTATAATGCTAATTATTGCTGAAACTGAAATGGTTAATATGGTATTATGAAGGTTTCGTCTTTAAAACAAACCTTATCAATACCGGTAACTTTAGTATTTGAAATCTAGGTTAAAAACCAACATTTATTCAAAATTTGCTCAGGACTTAAAGCGGTCTAGATGACTAAGATTCCCGGGTCTGAAAGGGAGGAATCAAAATTAAAGTCCCATGTCTGCAGGTAGAGTGGACCCGTCCTAATCCTGCTTGTCAAAACAGTGTTATTGTTGGGAGCTCGGCAATGCAGGCGGGCCAGGAATACCGCCCTCCCCGGCTGTTACTAGAAATTCTGTGTCCTACTACAATTTGCTTAAATTGAGCCATAAGACTTGGAACACCATGCGAATGCTCATTTTGTTCGTCTGAGAAAGAGGAATACAAACAACTTTGAGTGAACACTCTACGATTTCCCATTACAGAGTTATCAGGAGTTAGGCTCAATGTATGAACCTGCTCTGGTCGGTACCGATAACTCGGTTACAGGAAACCATAGAGCGTTTACTCAAAGTTGTTTTTATTCCTCTTTCTCACGCTATGGTCCTCATCATGACACGCACACTTGTTTCACATGAGGCCCAGCCGATCACAGTAAAGGCAAATTTCACGTACGAGGCGAGGACGGAGATAATGGATCAAGTGCCAGAAAATAACTTTCCGCCACACTACACTGTTTTAACGAACTTCCCAGACAAGGATTTAGTCCAGAAAACAGCTGTTTGCCACCAGCTTAATCAAATGGGGTTTCATTACATAATACCGTACTGTAATGAGTTTTACTGGACACAAATCAGCTGATTATACTGTATTGAGGTGGCAATGAGTGATTGTAAACCAAATTTGTAGTCCTTCAGTTGGTGGAAATATACAAGGATTTGTACAGATTTAGTAGTACTGTACGGCGCAAACTATCGTAAATAACTCGACCAAAATGTGTGTACCGGACTCGTATGGTAATCCCCACACTCGTCCTGTAAAACACTTATTTTCAGGACTAGTAACGTAATACACTAATTCTGTACGAGTTATTAACGATACTTTTCATCACAACGCAAATATATACACAAATACAGAATTCTCAAATAGTTTTAGACTAATCTGTATCAGTGAAAGTATACTTTACGTATATGGTTTCATGATTATAAATTTTTTTAGATAAATATTATTATTAAAGGCCTCGTCACTTTATTTGGTTTTACATTTTGTAAGTTGTACCAGTTCGTAAACTTTCTGTATTCCTCCACATATCTTTCTCGTAATTTCTCTGTGGGAAGGTGTTATAGTTTCTCTGAAGCTTTTTGTCATCAAATCATTAGAAATTTTAACATATCTTGAGCAATTTCAAACACGGACTACGCTAAAACACAGGAAACATTGTGCAACAATGAAAACAGCTGATTTAAATAATTAAAATAAACAGTAAGAAAAAAACACTAGCAAGTGTAGTGGGTAAATGAAGAGCTAATAATTGAGAGGAGGGAAAGTCCGCTGATTGTTTTTTCCTCGCCCTTCATTGATGTCAGCTGTTATCGAAAATAGTTACTTTCGGCACGGAGTGATGGCCCCCATACTCTGTTACATTAGTTTTTTACTAAAAAGTTTAAGCTTACTAATATGAGAAACCTGATCATTGGCCATATGAGTTGGCATGTTGTTTACAAAAACAGAAACAAGATGTAAATAAAATGTATATCAAGATGTTTAAGTTAAGAAAGAGTTATAGCTGATTTTAAAGAGTAATATCAACAAGTTGACAAGCCATTACTTTGGACTAAGTTAACAGTTTACAGGTAGGCCTAAGTCATTCAAGTTCTTTGATGAATACCACTTGGCAGTTAAAGAAACTACTGTAATGATTTTCGATCATTTCGAGCCTTTGAATTCACACATGAAAGCGCTTAAAAGTACAATAATAGCTTATACCCTATATGGGAAATTCGCTAAAAATCCAAGTAAACAAGTCAGTTTCCTTTTAAAATTTTATTATCAACTCAATAAAAACAAGATTAAAACTAAGCAGCTTCTTCCTTGATCCTGTCTTTCTTGAGTTGTCCCATGAAGGCAGCCTTGTCTGCGGCTGTCTGGAATCTTCCGTGACCGAACTTGGAGGATGTGTCGATGAACTTAAGGTTGATCTTCTCCAGAGCCACCCTCTTGGTATGGACAAGCAGCGACTGAAACCAAAATCACGAGTTTAAAACGGGTAAAATGTGAATCAATGATGTAAAATACTTGATTATAGCAACAAATCAGTCCTATCATTTATTTTCATTGAGGATCAAAAACTTAATTGGCTCAAAAATCTCATCATATTTGTTGCAAAAAATACAAGGTCTATTGAACAAGTGAAGAGTAATGTTTAGAGAAAACGTAAGCTTTCTTCTTAATAAAACTTATGCGTTCGTCACCGTTAATAATTATTGACCCGTTAATAGTGGTAGTACAAACAATATATTCCAGGTGAGCATAAGGCAAACCAAAGGCTGTTCAGGAAAGATAACCATGTCAAAATTGACCTGATGTAGGGTTGTAGAAACATCAATGACTTACCTTTCTCATGGTGATGACCCTCTTCTTGGGACCGACACAGCATCCCCTCATCATGACAAAGTCATTGTTCACCTCTCCGTAGTGAGGGAAGCCTCCCATTGGTGTGATGGTTTTCTCCGACAGATCGTACTCTGTAGAGGCATTGTTCTTAATAACCTGCAAAAAACAACTTGGATTAATACACAACACAAGACAACATGGAAGTTAAGTGATCTAGCTATTATTAGGTACTTCCATATGAGTCTCTAACACGGTGGTAAGAAAAAGTTTGAAAATAAGATATTGTTTTATGTTTTGAAAATTGTAAGTTTAACCATGTAATAACCTATATTGAAGTTTGGTTACCTTTAGAAAACTAGAGCTGCATATTGATTTAAGTGTGTTGCTGAACTAAATATCAACAATTCCCAGACAGAATGTTGTGGTAAGAGTCAGCATTTATATTCCACAACAATAATTATCCAAGCATTGCCAAAAAGCAAAGTTAGGTTCTCTTTGTGGTCAAGTCAGCATTTGGTGAATGTATTTGATAAGTAGAAATAATGTTAAAGATGTTCTAGTAAACAGGACTTTCAGATACTTCATATCAGGGTGTCTATAGTGTTTCATAAAAATTAACTTCCAAGGACAATCCAAGGTTTTCCAGGTTCAAAATTAAATGTTTTTTAAAGGTTCAAAATCAAAAATTTCCAGGGCAAAACTTGATGGTCAAATGCATAGTTACAAGTTCATTTTCAACTGCTGGTACTTTAAAAACACTTAAGTGAATTTTCATGATAAGTTCTTGCAATCGCCGCAATATCGGCGATTTTAATTTTCGACCAAGGCAAAATTTGTGTTGATTCCTGGGATCTTGGCAAAATAGGTATCGATTCCTGGGATCGCGGCAACATGCGTGCAGATTTCCTGTTATTGCAGCAACGCCGTGATATTTCTTGTCATCGCAGGAACGTGCGTTATTCGCAGTCTTTTCCCGCAATTTTCAACCACGCTAAACAAAACAATATCGGTGGATTTATCGTTTCAAGGACTATTCAAACATTTAAATCTCCCGGTTATTTACAAAATTCACGCACAATTCACAGATTTGTTCATCAAAATTCACATCCAATTCCCTGTTTCTAGGTCGCCTGGGTGTCCCAAATATGCTAATAAATAGATTGGAAAACAAAAACATGGGTTTGTAATCTCTGCTGTTTGAAAGAGGGGGGGGGGAGGGAGCTTGATGTCAAGGTTCTGCATTTGGTTACTGTACTGTACTATTAGTGTCAAAAACTTGTTTTATTTTTTCAGTCTTACACCCATAGTTATCTAAAATGCAAGCTGTAGGTATTTCTAACATAGTGACCCACAGACACAGGTTTTTTCTAGAGCCTATGCCAGCAGTATTTGATATGACACAATCTTAAAATGTTTTCCCAGGAAAATTGTAAAAACCAAATCCCTTTACATTTTGTCCCACCTTCTCAGCTTACTGATAACCTATCTACTACAAACCCATACATAAATTAAACACATTGTATGCACCAACTTCTTGCCAAAATCAAAATGAGGAAAAACCTTCAAACCACACAACTACCCATTATCTCACCTTGCCGTCCTTAGTGTGGATGCCCTGGCCAATACGGTAGATCTTCTTGTTGATCTCTGTTCGGTGGTGATAGCCCTTCTGACCAGCGCGGGCGACCGTGAACTGAACTCGACTTGGATGCCAAGCTCCAATACACGCCACTTTACGCAGACCCTTGTGTGTCTTGCGAGGCAGTTTCTTAGTGTGCCAACGGGAAGTCACACCTAAGAAGCAATTTGAAAATCTAAATACCCATTGAGAATTTAAGCCCTTTGAGTAACAGTTGACAACCAAGTCGGTAGCAAGATATCAGTAGGAAGGCAGCATGAGTTTTTATCAACACCCAAAATCAGAAATGCACATCTCATGATTATCATCATGCGTCTTGACTACAGAAAGCATTTCACCATTACACAACTTGTATAACTGTTGAGAACATGGAGAAATCAAAATTGTAATTTTTTAGGGAAATAGCCTATTGTGATTAAATTATTTTAAGCAAATCTCACAACATACTACCTATTTGAGTATTTGGTTTTTAATACCTTAGTTTAAGAAACATAGTTTGTGATACAAGGCATTTGCTATGTGCCAGGTAATTAACTTGATTCTGTTAGCAGTCCAGGATCTGAAGGGGGTTGAGTATGCATGGAAAGCCTCAGACAATTGAAGCCTCATTGTGTAGGACAATTTTATTTCTGATTGTTGTTATTGGCACTATAATGATCACAAAAACGCATGTTGTCGCCCCCCCCAGCGTGGTCGACATCCCCAGTGGGAGGAGGGAATATGGCGGGGGCGCCGCTTACTTAAAGGCTTATAGCTAGAGAACCATTCTAGATTGAACATTGAAATGAATGTCAATTTACGTACAATATTATGACCTTAAAAAATGTTACTATGTTTAAATCCGTATCTAGGTTGTTGTTTTTTTCATAATAACATATTATATTCGTACTATACTGAAGCTAATATCTTCAATAAACAACGTGTTTTAAAAGTCCCGGAACGGCTTAGTATTTTTTTAACCCTCCGAGTGTCCATAGTTTAGGCCTTAATGTCCGCCTATTTTTGGCGCATTTGCAAGGTTTTATTAAAACGGATCTTAGAAGCTTAAAACAATGTTAATTCTTCTGTTCTATATACCATTTTGTTTGGAAAATCATGGGCTTCAATAGCATACATAAAACATAAGGAATATTTGTTTCAAAACAATTTTTTAGGTAAAAAAAAAATTATTAGAGACGCATAAATCCGAGTTCAAAATACTAAGTCATTGAAAGATTTTGCTAATACCTGTTGCTAATACACTCAAGATTTCCTCAGCGAGCCACCTCAATGAGAAGATAGCATATTGCTGAATAAGCTAAAATGAATTTTATGCCTAGTAACTTTGTTTCAAGTGTCATAGACTATCCTTATTATTTTTTATATATATATTTAACCGTCCCAGTACTCAGTACCGGTAGCCTACTTTTCCCACCCTGTACTGTAAATAAACAGTAAAAATATGACGAGATTCCTGTCATAAAGGTTCTCCTAGAATAAGACCAAAAATCAAATTTGAGTAGCAAGACATCAGTAGGAAGGCAGCATGAGTTGTTTCAACACACAAAATCAGAAATGCACATCTCACGTTATCATCATGCATCTTTGCTACTTGATTTCTATGATTATTGTATACAAATTACTTGTGAAAATTGGAAAAATTTGTGGTTTGGGATACTGTTAGGTGAATTTGCACAAGTTGACTTTTGATTCTGCTCACTAGTTTTTATATTGTAGTGAAATCAAGATTAAGAAACAGTACAGTACGTCTAAGTTAAATCACAAAAATAATTTTCAATTTGGCTAGATGTGTTTTGTTTGTATTGGGTACTTTTATTTCTTACCATCCCAAAATATTTACTCAAACCAAAAGTGATTGCAATTTAAATATCTGGGGCACTATGAAATATGAAAATGTTGTAGTTTTTTAACTATTTGATGAGTTAGTATGGTTCCAAGGACTCTTAAATCATTTTTGTTACAGCAATACTAACGCATTTTAAGGGAGAAAATAGAATGTTTAACTGTTAAAATATTCTGTGAGTGGTTCATTCAATTATGTCCAAATAAAAAAATGGCTACAGCTGGTTCATAAGGGAAGTATACTTTAATATCCTAAAAAGGCCTAGTTCAGTAAGTATTTTAAAGGTAAGCTAAATTTTGAAAGCAGCCAATTTGTTACTTAACAGTGTAAAATCTTGTGGGGGAAAACCATTCCACTAACCGCTAACAACCAACAAAATCACCCACCCTTGTATCCATGTCCCTTGGTGACTCCGATCAAGTCAATCATCTCGTCAGGCGCAAACACGCTAGACACAGGTACAGGCTTCTCTAGGTGTTCCCTCGCCCACTTCACCTTGTCCTCCACTGTACCTCCGTTCACTTGGATCTCCATAATGTGCGCCTTCTTCTGCCTCTTCTTCAGCAGCTTCATCTGAAACCAACAGTCATTAGTACCACCTACAGAAGGCGCTTACTGTTACTTTGCAATAGCGGAGAATGTTTCTTGGCTTTTCGGTAATAAGTGAAATAACCAAGGACCATTCATTACGAGGTAGTGTTAAGCTCTCCTCAAGTTACCTTATAAAAGCATTTTAATACCATTAATAGAACTTATTATTTCTTGTAGTCTAACGCTCCTTACATTTATTTAGGCAATGGCGTTTTGATAACTAAAACGAGGACCTAGTTTAGATCTAAACAGATACAAGAGATTGGTCTGTGCAAACTGTCCATGACATGGTTTTCCTGAGGGTCACCGCCCGACGGGCTCAACCTAGGTTATGGAATATGCCAAGACTGTCTCAGCCCGAAGGCGAAACAGATGCTGTATGATGTGGCAGACGCACTCTGTAGAAACAGAGAGATCACTGCAGCCTGTGAGGGCTCTCACATCAATGAAAAAGTTACTTTAGATTAAGTGGTCGAGTTGGAAACCAAAAACAACTAATTATTATATTTAATGTTACTGCAAATTTCATAAAAAGAGATACATGTCCGATTAAAAGTCAATAGTCTAACATAATACTATTGTCCTAAAGGACAAGCATTTATTACCTGAGTGTGAGCAATGACTCGGATGACTTTGCAGTACTTGATCATTTTCTTGAAGTCCTGCTCGATGGTCTTCAGCCCGAGAGGGTCTTGCCACTTCTTGGAAGCTTTGGTGAACGCCTTCTTCTTGCTCTTGTACCTACGACACAAGCAAGGGAATAGAGGGGAGACTCTTCTACGAGCGGAGTCTCACCCTCCAGCGTTCGGCTGAACCAAAGTGTTCAGCATGAACAGACACTCTCTTCAGTGAGCGGAGAGCAGTTACAGGGTTAGTCAAATGCTTAAATAAGCACATTACAACTCACGTCATGAGATTATCATTAAGTTAAAATGATTTAAATTAGGCCTAACATCTCAGACCGCCCTAGATTATCTTCACAAAAATCAGGTTCTAACCATTGTACACAGAGGGTTATCATCATGGATGATGGTCACTTAAATCATTTCAAGTCCCATGTTGAATTTAACATTCAACCAAATTAAAAATAAATAGAAATAATTGAGAGAAAACATTGATTATGAAAAGTTCTGGGTGTAAATAAATCAAATTGAAGTGGATTGATTGAATGGGAAATTCATTCTAGTAGGCCTACATAGATTCTTAGGAGATTCTCTTTAAGCTCAAACTACACAAATACAGTCCAACCTCAGTATAACGAATCTGAAGGGACCGAACTGAATATTCGTTATATCAAGGATTTCGTTAAAACGAGGTTCGTTATATAGAGGTTAGGTTTGCAGGAATTTCGCTAAGTCGAGGTTCAGAACCAGCGTCGATCAATATAGGTCGGGATTTGACCTCATTAAAATACAGTACAATTAAAGTAGCATAGGCTACAATACTTTACAGTACAGTGTTTACATTGTACAGTAGAACCTAAATCATCCGGCATAATAAAGGGGAGGGATCTTGAATATTGCGCAATCGGCAATCATGACAATTGCATTGACCTTGGTACAGGTTAAAAACTGTAAGTTTAAAATCACAGCTTGTTCTAACCCTCCTAAAACCTAGCCAAACACTGTATTGCGTAGTCATAAACCATGTAAAGAACAAAACAAAACACTCAGTAGAAAGCTACTAACTGCTCACGATAGGCCGGTAGGCTACTTAGAGTACAGTACTGATTTATCACAACAGAGGAATGTCAATAATAATCATTAACTATAGCATTGGTGTTGCTAGTTGAAACAAATCGTATTGAAAACAATAAATTATTAGATAAGTTATTATAAAAGTGTATAATCATAGCCAACTTAAAGATAGTAAAAACACTCGTAAAAGGAATGTTAAAATAACGATGTTGTTATTCTTTCTCTTTGGTTTTGTTTTTATATTCTTTCTTAGGTTTCTCTTTATCCAAAAATTGTACAATTCACCATAGTTATCACATATCGCCCAATCACAGCTTACTAAACATTACGTCGTCATCAGTCCTCAGTGAATGAAATCAGTTCTCAGTTGCAACATAGCGCGCGCAGCAGACAAAGATGTAAAACGGAGCAGACGAATGTTAGCGCAAGCGATGACGTGACCTTTCCATTTCATTTGATAAAGAAACAGATTTTCCCAAAACAATAATTGGGTGGGGGATTTGTTATATCGAGGGAAAGACGTAGACAATTCGTTATGCAGAGGTTAAATTCTCAATGTAGAGGTTCTGACAATGATAAATTCGTTATATTGAGGTGTCTTATTTTAGCCGAAATCACAAAAAATTTGTTAAATCAAGGTCGTTGTTATGGTTTGTTTGTTATGTAGAGGTAAAATATACATTGTGTCTTATGGAGAGTTCTAGGGGATTACAAAAAATTTGTTATATCAAGGAATTCGTTGTATCGAGGTTCGTTATATCAAGGTTAGACTGTACTAGCTTAAAATCTTTATTGTAAATGTATTTCCATTGCTAAAAAGTGGTCTGTTTAGCAAAATAAGACCACTTTGACTAAACTGGGCTAGCGTAGTTACCACTTATGAGAATAAAAAACTGTATAACATAAACTGAGTCAAGTTACGATGACTTGTTTGTTTAAAGACATCTCAGACCGCCCTAGATTATCTTCACAAAAATCAGGTTCTAACCATTGTACACAAAGGGTTATCATCATGGATGTTGGTCATTTAAATAATTCCAAGTCAAATGTTGAATTTACCGTTCAACCAAACACAAAAAATTGATTTTAAACATTGATCATGAAAATGACTAGGCCTACTAATTAATATGTTGAATCAAATTAAAACGTGGATTAATTGAATGAGAAATTTATTCCAGTTCACAACAAGTATGGTATGGTAGGCCTAGATGATTTATTTATGCTCATGTTGCACATTTAAAGTTAAATAGCTGTACAGTTTCTTAGCCTACGAGCTCAACTAAAAAGTAGAAAGAAATTTCTCCATAAAGCTATACAGACCACTTTATCTCTATTGGGCTTGGATAGTTCTACTAGTTAGGTCTTACAGAAGAAAAATATAACAAAATAACTAGGCTACGATGACTTTCTTAGGTATTGTTTTTAGACATCTCAGACCGCCCTAGATTATCTTCACATATATCAGGTTCTAACCATTGTACACAAAGGGTTATCATCATGGATGCCAGTAAAAACAGATAACTTAAGCCAGCAATGATTTAATTTAAGGAGTGTTTGGGTTATTTTAAAGATGAGATTGATTGACATCATACAATGTCGTCAAATAATTAAATTGTTATCTACAATTATTACAATTAACTGTCCGTGACATGGTTTTTCTGAGGGTCATCGCCCGACGGGCTCAACCTAGGTTATGGAATATGCCACGACTGTCTCAGCCCAAAGGCGAAACAGATGCTGTATGATGTGGCAGACACACTCTGTAGAAACAGAGAGATCACTGCGGCCTGTGAGGGCTCTCACATCAATAGGTAGTTTGTGTTCCAGGAGCTAAAGGGAGAATCTTGACTCACCAGTTCTTGTAGTAGCGTCTACGGCAATCCTCGGACAGATGTTCAGCCCACACAGTGACCAGTGAGCGCATGCCATGGGGTGTCTCAATGTAGCCGATGACACCCACAATCACCATGGGAGGAGTCTCCAAGATGGTCACAGCCTCCACAATTTCTTTCTTGTTTATCTCTGAAAAATTAAAAATAAAATCAAGTTAATATTAGGAAAATTATTTTGAATTAAATACCTATTACAGCATTACCTAACAACACCCACCTAACCTTAAACTTAGAGTAAAATTTTAAGATTATGACTGTCTGTGACATGGTTTTCCTGAGGGTCATCGCCCGACGGGCTCAACCTAGGTTATGGAATATGCCACAACTGTCTCAGCCCGAGGGCGAAACAGATGCTGTTTGATGTGGCAGACACACTCTGTATAAATCACTGCAGCCTGTAAGGGTGTTCACATCATGTACAGTAGAACTGCCAACTATCTGAATCACCGATTATCCGAATTGCTTACAGAAATAATTTTTAATTTAAAACACAGTTAATAAGAATTGTTATTAAAGAAAGCAGAAGCCGTAAACGCGGAAATATCCAAAACCCTGTCTCGCGATTGTGTTGACACCACCGTTGTCTCCTGTGGTCAAGGTAACATTTTTGCGATCCAAGCAAAATTCCAATATCCCAGTAGTTTTGACACCATTATCGTCTCCTGTGATCACGGGAAATCAGGTACTCCAAAGACCATAAAGGCATTAAATTTTCCGATCGCAAAATCATCGCAGATGCATTCTGCGATAACAATAGTAAAAGCGTGACATGACTCAGCCTTATTTCGGTAAAAATCCAATTAGCCTATCCCAACTTTTGATTATCCAAATGGGGTCCAATCCCGATCGATTTGGATGATTGGAGTTATAGGCTACTGTGTACATTTTTCAAATTAGCCTACTATTAATTTTGTTAAAAGGAAACAAAAATAAAATAAAATAAAAATCCAGCAATGCTCAATTATATGAGGCCTAGGCAACTTTCATCAGCGGCATTGTTTGTCTGAAAATAACTTACAATAAAATTGTGCTCAATTTAACAGATTAAAATGGTAAGATGAAGATGGTTAAGTTTAATAAGTTTAACATAACTTACTTGAACCAGGTCTGTCTGCCTCCCTCACTACGTGTGTCATACCAGCCTTGTAGCCGAGAAAAGCTGTTAGATGGACAGGTTTCTTGGGGTCGTCCTTGGGGAAGGCCTTCACCTTACCACGATGACGCCTGGACCTCTTCTTAGGGTAGAAGCCCATCGACCCATGACGGGGTGCACTGAATTTCCTATGAGACTGAAATTAACAAAATAACACTAATGTTAAGACATGTTTATTTCCAGTACCTAATTCCAGGTAGACAAATTACAAATATATTGGAAGTCAAACATTTTTCATGCAGAGCAGTTGTAAAATTGAGAATTAAGTTACAGAGTGTACTTTTAAGTCTATGAAAAACAAATTGCATTTTAAGTTATTTAATAGGTGTTCGGTATTTGGTATGTTTACCTTAATAGCGTTTGAAAAAAATGTCCAAACTGCCGGCAAACAGCGGTTGGGCACCGAGCACACACGTGAAACCAAGGCAGTCCTAGCGATAAGTTATTACAATTCCTGTGACTATGATTAACCCTAGCAGTGGCCAATGTTAGAAGTGGGGAATGGCCAACCCATTTTGGCGATTTTGCAGACCTTTTTTTGAAAATTCGTAAAAATTCAACCGTACAAGTAAACCTAGCCAACCTCATATTCATTTTGTTCGGAAAGAACAGGAGAATCTAGAAATAGTAATATCATAATGATTTAGACAGTGTATTTTATCGGTAAAGTGAAAAAAATAAAAAAAATGAATTTTTTTTTTTGAAATTTCAAAAGCGGCCTTGGTATTTTTTTTCTACGGATTTTTTTATGGGAAATTCATTATATACATTTTGTAGACAATCTAATTCCCTACATAGAAATATATAACATGTTAGGAAAATATTTTTTTTTTATAAGTTTTTGGGGCGAAATATAAATGACAAACGGAGAACCGAAAAAATTGAAAACCGTACAGTGTTAGTTTATGTTGTAAAAAGTTCTATAATATATGTGTATACTAATAATGATATATACATGTTTGTAAAGCTAATGAAGTAAGGAATCAAAAAAAGTCATAAGGTTTATGGTAAAAAAAACTTTTTACCTATAAACATACGTAGGCCTATATAAAATAATGTTTTTATATTTTAGCGATTTCTCGAGAAAAAAAATTCACAGTACTTAGTATACAACTTTTGTACCAAATTTTTTTACTTCAAACCAACATAATAATCTTGTAGTGTATTCAATTACCTACATAAAAATGTATAACATGTTAGAAATATTTTTTTGTAGGTACGTAGTAAGGACATAATAATACAATAACCGCAAAACCGCAAATAGGTGTAAACTATAGCCTACAGTGTTTGCTTGTGTTGTGAAACATTATGTAGGCTGATGATATGTAGCCTACATATTTGTAAAGCTAATGAAATAAGGAATCCAAAAAAGTCATAAGTATGATGGTAAAAAGTTATTTTCACCTATGATTAGGCTATGTATCAATTTGAGAACGTTTTGAATTTTTTGCGCATTTCGAGAAAATGGAGTGTACAGTATTTAGTAGCCTAGCCTATATAATTTTTTTACCAAATTGTTTACACCCAAACCAATATAAACATGTTGTAGTGTATTTATTTACCTTTATAAAAATGTATAACACCTTGGGTATATCATTATATAGGTACAACAATCTCTGAATGTCAGAAATGTCATTATAGGACATGATGCTAACAAAATACAGTAGTAGGCCTGTTTAGTATAGGCTATAACTTTTTTACAAACTTTTTTACCCCCAACCAAACCATTATAAACATGTTGTAGTGTATTCATTTACCTTTATAAAAATGTATAACACCTTGGGTATATCATTATATAGGTACAACAATCTCTGAATGTCAGAATCGTCATTTTAGGACATGATGCTAACAAAATACAACCTTTTCCTTTTATGAACACTATTTCACACAATTCAGTAATATTTATGCATGAAGATTACTGTTATACACACACACAACACTTCACTAACACTAACACTACGAACTAATAACATATTTAGTAATAAATCGCGGATCGGCAACAACACAAACAAACAATGGCAATACAAGACAGCTGACAGACTGTAGCAGTAATGACTCACTTCGTCGTCTACATGCGAGAATACAGAAATAACCCTTAGTGCAGGGCTGCCACTCTCTGAATCTAAATTTCTTCCTCTTCAAAATGATATACTATATGACTAGGTAATAATAACTTTCACTGTATATAATTCGTATTTTCCATACTGTCACCAGACGACTGTTGGCCATTTGTTAGAAATTTCAAAAACAGCTGTTTTCATAAAATCGTACCGATTGTGCAATCAATATTTAGTTATAAATATCACTATCACAATGAAGATAAAATCAATGGCTATCCCGTGGTACCACCCGCAACATCCCAAGACGAAAATTACCCGAGCAGGGTAATGCCAAACAAGACGTGTTTTGCCAGTTCCCAAGTGTCGGCTGCAAATGTCGTACCGCGCCAAAATTTCATTTGATTTCTAATCGTCGTGACATTGTTATATACCTGCTACAGGGTTTGTTTATGTAATAAAATGAAAGTTCAGAATGTGATCTTTTCGAATGGTATATATATTATTCTAATCTGAGTTGATTGTAAGTGTTTTTTTTACCGTTAAAAAAATTTCGGCCCATACCGTAACCAGACGACTCTGGCCATTCTAAGCATCAACGTCATACCGTAACCAGACGACGGTTGGCCACTGCTAGGGTTAATGATATCTTAGCAGGATACAATAACTATCGCAGCGACACCATTAACCCTTTGAGTGCCAACGTCCGGGGAACCAGACGTTTTTAAAACGAGCCAAAAGTGCCGACGTCCGGCCGACCGGACGTTTTTAGAACGAGCCAAAAGTGCCAACGTCCGGCTGACCAGACGTTTCGTAATGATCAAACATTTGTCATAACAACCGAATGGATACTCGGATTCTTTTAACCCATATATCAACATTGAGTCGAAAGTTACTAGATGCGATACATCGATTTTCGTTGGTCGAAATATCGAAAATTAGATTTTTACGAAATTTTAACCTAAAAATCGCCAGATCGCGCTCAGCATTTTTAGCGCGACCTTCGGGAAAAATCATCGGCATTTTTTGAGCGTTACTTTTATTTCTCGCCTGGCACTCTAAGGGTTAATTCCAGTAACATAAACATACCTGACATAGAGATCAATACTAAGTTAGGCCTACATCACATCCATGATCATCCTGTAGGCCTAAATTTTTAAGCAACGGAAATGTAACATAGGCCCTATTCCATTCCTCGTATTTTAGCGTTGGCCAATATAAAAGCCAAATAGCATAAGTTAAGTTCCTACACAACCACCCTGACATAGGCACAAGTTTGCCTAGGCTTAAGTGTGCATTAACTTATTATCCCTTGATTTTAAACATTGACTGAAATTCGAAACAGTTTTAATTCAAAACATTTGTCAACTTGAAACCCGTGAATGGATGAACTAGGAAGGATATAATCCCTAAACCTTTAGACCTGGCCTAAGTTGAGTGGCGTTGATTGCTTGCCTAAGAACATTTTTACTTTTCAAACACCAAGCAAGGCAACTGTAAAAATTTACTAAGAGACAAATTAAGTATTAATTAAGATAAAAGATTCAGTACAAAGGCCTAAAACAGAGTATAAGATACTTGTAATAACTTGTATCATGTGAAATGATGACCCGAGAACCCAACCTGAAACGTGCAACGTGGCTCACAAGTTTTAAGAAAGTTATAATTTGATATTAGTATATAGCATGATAATAATGATTATTCTATAAAATGTAACAGCATTGTATTTAATTCACAAAGCAATTATCAATAGCTACAAGGATGAAGACAGATAAAAATGTTAGAATACACAAGAAATATAGTCAGCAATACTCACCATCGCGAAAGCCGGAAAGGAAAGAACAGATTTCAGAAAACATTCCGCCCTTATATTGAAAACCACTGCCACTGATATTTCGTCTCTTTACTTGAAACTACTTAAGCGTACTATAACCACATCAACATTTTCAATTAGTTACTTACATATTTACTAAACTTACATAGATAGATTCCATTTTTTGGCGATTTAGTTAAAAATATGACCACAAATTTTTATGGTATGTAAAAAAAAACTATTTTAGCTTGATTGATGTTGAATTTATTTTATTTGCAACGGTTTCATTAATTTACAATAGAAAGGTTAACGAAAATAAACAATACATATAGTTACAATACATAAATTATACATATACAACTCAGGATTAAGATAAAAAAGCAATAATATGCAATGAATGATACATGAATGATTGTCTGGATGGTCTTCTTCTTAAAAAGCATATAAAAACTTTAGTTGTTGGTGACTTCAACATAGATGTGTTTGTGATAAAAGCTTCAAAAAAAGATCTTGTTAACCTAATGTCATCTTTTGTTTACGCTACACCATCACAACCGGGTCGCCGGAATTTTATTCCCCTGGAATTTTGGCTCCGTGTTTAGCCCGGACGTGTTTGACGCGGACACCCTCAAAATGGTGATTCACGCGGACGGACGCTTCAGAAATCCCCGCGCCAAGGCCGGGTGGGTAATTCGGCACCTTTCGCCCCCCCCCCCCCATTATCGAGTAAGGACGCTCGGTGGCGTTTCCCTCACAGCACTGGGATTTATAATTAATTATCGTAACCATAGAACTGGCCCGTAGCTACCAATGGGAGAAAAACTTATATTTTTATTTATTATATTAATTCCATTCGGATTTCAAAAATGAAACGTTATTATTATAAGACCGGTATAGTTGCAAGCACGTTGCAATGTGCAACGGAATCTATACTATTATAAATTATAAATATTGGTTTTAGTAATCACTTTTAAATTTAACAATAAAATAAAAAAAATTGAAAGTAAAGCCTTTAAATTGTAGTATTACATCAAAGATTGAACATGCTTATGAACAATGAACCTGAGCATGTTCCATAACAATTTACTTGATAATGATTACTTAGGTGTCTATTTTACAATACAAATTTAAACTTCACTTTTAGTCCTGAACCACGGATGGGAACAAGACTGTTTCATGATTCTCAGCCTGTATTTTATATACTGCTTTTCTGCGGTACAGGATTCTTTTAATTATGACACATCTATATACTGTATATTAACTAGGTGGCGTTTGCAGAGGCATTTACAAAATTGAGCGGAGTCATCAGGGTTCCATATAGTATATTGTTATTGACCTTCGCCATTGGAGCTTCATAATTATTTTTACCAACAATTTTAAGTGAAGGAAGAGAACGTGTGCGTAAAGATAGGTATTTGGTGTAATTAGATTAGATACACGTTGTTCGTAATGAAGGGGAGTAAAAACACAGAGATGTAATTTTAGACATTTTCGGAGACCGGAATTTACATTTTAATTTAAACCCCTCAGGATTGGTCATGAATAACTTATTCTAAAACAGAGCGGTACAGTTATAGCTAGTTATAACCTATAAATCAACCCTTTACAGTTTCGGATTCAACCATTTTGGCTACTGATAACTGCATTAGGGGACTTTATGTGATGGTGAGTATATAAGTGAAACCATTTTAACGATATTTTTCGTATATATTTCGTGGTTTCACGAAATATATACGAAAAATATCGTTAAAAAGTTATACAGTATTGACATTTACATTTGCATTGATTCAAGCGTTTAAACCATAACCCATGTGTTCCACGCTAATATATTGTATAAGCAATCGGAACTGGGCTATAATGCCGTTATTTTAAATACAAAATTAATGTAGGTTAAGATAAGGTTGCCGCATCGATCTCTATTATTACTACAGCGGTTGCCGTCATAAATATGACATATTTAAGTAAATAAAATATATATGTTGAACATTAGCTTATGTTCTTTATTTTCATACCTACTAATAATTGTTGCGGCACGTGATGCGCCAATGTTTTGGTAATAATATAAACTAACACTTTCAACTAAACTATGATTTTATTGATGTAGATATGAACAAATTATATCAGTGGACTGTATAGTGAAACTGCAATAAATTAATTTCTATAACGGAACTACTTAATGTGGATTAAGAGTCATAATTTAAGACTAATGAAATACGTGAGAGGCTGAAAGAAAACAATGTTACTCGGCTGACACGACAATCAGTAGGCTACTGATCACATAGACCACAGACCACCCTTGACCCACGGTCCTAGATAGCAATTCTTAAGACAAATAGAAAAGGAGTTTTTGTGACCGTATTTGTTCTTTACGCAGAAGGACGGTCTCAACTGCTTTGTTAAGAAGCCGACTAATTGCTCTAGCAGAACGAACGAGTGGTTTATGCGATCGTAAACAACTCTAGATGTTTGACAATATTTGAAATTTAGAAACGTAACTACCTATCTCCTAACAGCATAAATATAAAATAAATACCCAACAGATTAATTAAATACACTCTCCCCAACAATGATTGTTTCAAGCAAAAATACCCATAAATAAAAAAAAAATGTTTGAATGAACAGTATACAAGTATTTGACAAAAATCGTTTACGCCATCTTTAATTTTAGACTTTAGAGATTCCGATTTCTTTATACCGTTTCACTAGTGAATGCACACAATTCTTAGTCAAAATAACCAATCTTTAATTAAGCAATTTTCTTAGGGTTGTCTTACGGATTTACTCGACTATATTCAAATCTTTGAATTATGTTTCAATTGTTTACTTATTGGTTCAGTATATTTTGAATACACAGAAATTTATGTTGCTGACAAATGCTGTGAATACAATTCAGTGACATAAGAACCAAAAATCTATGTAAATAATACCCCCGCCGCAACAAACCTGCAGACTAAGCGAATTTCCATTTACCGGGTTCGATTTTTACTAAAATATTCCTAAAAAATTGTAAGCTCTACAAAATGGCTTGGAGGGAAATTATAAAACTTTGTGTTTTTAGGGTCAAAAATAGGAAAAATCAATTACTACCCCGTAAAGCACCCTATCAAAACGAAAAAGTAAATCGGTCCTGGATCTAGTCTTACCATGTGTTAAATGTGTTTTACCATGAGACCTACGGTAATTGCTATATGGAATATATGGGAAATTCGCAAAAATTAGAGTTTTGTCTGTACATGGCTTAGAATGATAAATGTTTCGGTTAGTTTTATCGTATGAAACGAGTCATACGATAGGAAAGCCGAAACGCGTGCTAACTCAATTTCTGCCTGTCTGTCTGTGACGCACAAGATGTCATTTTACGCTCTCTTCGACGGGATCATCAGATCACGCTGAAACTATTTTGATGTATTCTCTACAAGCTTGAGAAGGCTTTCAATTACTTGAAACGTGCCTATGTCCATTGGAAATAAAAAATACGAACACTCAAAACCCCAGTTTTGCGCGTAAGGCTCATTTTGTTGTAGGTGAAACCATTGACTAACCTACCACTAGTAGACTTATTATCCCATTGTAAATTTTGAAGCTCGTCTTTCGTGTCTAGTTTATGTTCGGCGACACTGTGCGTTAGTGTCGACGGATGTTTTTTTTATTATTTTAGGGTTAATTTAAGGATTTGTGCTTTACTGTTTAGTTATGCACCGGCTTCAGCTGTTCCATACGGGATGAGAAATCTACTAGGGGAGTATGTTTTATATATGGCTTTACTTTAATCAAGTCAAGTGATCTATAAATTAAATAATACTAGTGGTTGTCCAGTGGTCGAAAACTCGACCAAAACATGTAATGTACACTGTATTTACTATTGGGTACTGAAGTAGACATCGCATCTATATGGACCAGCTGTCGCAATTTTTTAATTAAAAAAAAACATGTAGATGTGTGAGCCAATCACCGAATGTTTGTCTTAAATTCTATTTTCTACCTTATTTTTGGTTGCTGACAGAGTTGATGGGTCATAACAGTTGCTATAGCTCATAATAAGTAATTCAATAAGTTTAACTTGGTAAAAACATTAAGAATTCAACAGTAATTAGTCATTTGGATCAGCGCAATCTGTTGGTGGCTCACATATCAACTACGACGAATTAAAAAAAACTGGTGAAAACATTAACATTGGTATGAAATGTAAAAAAGGTACAGGCTTCTCTATTTCACCCCACGCTGTAAATAAAACATGTGATTGCAATTATTTGCTTTTGTTTTGATCTTCTGTTTATATTTCGTTGTTATTTCGTCACCAGAATGGCAACCCATATTAGGCCCATGTTAATTTTTTAAAATTTCAAATTCATTTTTGGTGCTTATATTTGAGCCTATTTTAATTTTTAAAGGTATTCTGCACTTCTACAAGAAAGTATCTTTCTAAGGGTATGCGTAGATTTTCCCTGCGATGCACACGAGCTGAGAAAAAAGGTTGCTTAGAAACATACTTGCCTATTAATATATAGGCTAGAGGTCATCCAGTGGTCAAATCTCGACCAAAAATATTTAATGTTCGGACTGCTTCTCTATTTTCACCACACACTGTAAATAGTACTATTAACATAATCTGTCGGAGACCCATCTAAAAACCATAGGTAAAACCATAGGTTAAGTTGACCATAGGTAAACACTGGGTTTTTAAAATAAATGTCAACTTTTGTGAAGGTTCGGCCTTGCGCCACAATTTCACCAAATCAAATTGTGCAATACACCACAATGAATGCACCCATCCATCGTTCATTGGTAATACGCTGTGTAATGCAATCTCATTCAAAAGTGG